GGGCAGTTAGTAGTCCCCTTTCTTTCCAGATTGCTCCATGAGCATGTACAATGGAGAAGGCATATTTAGAATCAGTCCAAATGTTAATCTGCATGCCTTTTGCTAGTTCCAGGGCCCGGGTAAGAGCTATCAGTTCTGCCTTTTGGGCAGAAGTCCCTGCAGGTAAGGGGTTTGATTCGATTACCTCTTTTGTTGTGGTCATGGCATAGTCTGCCATTCTTACTCCTTGCTTCACGAAGCTGCTGCCATCTGAGAACCAGTTATATGCATCTTCAAGTGGCTCTTCTTTGAGATCCGGGCGACTGGAATAAGCTGCTTCAATTGTTTCCAAGTAATTATGCTTGATGGGTTCTGCCAGGATTCTTCCTTCTAGAAATGAGGCTGGGTTGACAATATTAGCTACTTGAACAGTTACATCATCTGATTCAGCTAGGATGGCTTGATACTTTAGGAATCTTGAAGGTGATAACCAATGATTACTCTTTTGTTCCAATACTGCAGAGACAGTATGAGACACTAACATAGTCATTTTCTGGCCCAGCGTAAGCTTTCTGGCTTCTTCTATGTTTATGATCACTGCGGCCACTGCTTTTAGACAATCAGGCCAGCCTTTGCTTACTTCGTCCAACTGTTTGGAGAAATAAGCGATAGCTCTTTTGTGTGGTCTCAACTGCTGCGCCAGAACTCCTAGAGCCATCCCCTGTCATTTGTGAGAGAACAGCCAAAATGGTTTAGTGACATCTGGAAGACCCAAAGCTGGGGCCTTCATGAGTTTTCGTTTCAGTCTCTTAAAAGCTCCCTCCGCTTCAGGAGTCCAGATTAGGGTACCTGTAGTCTCCTTCAGTAAATCGTACAGTGGTTTGGCAAGTACTCCATATTGATAAATCCATAACCGACACCAACTTGTTATTCCCAGAAATGCACGTAGATCTCTCACCGTCTCTGGTCTGGGCGTTTGGCAGATGGCTTCTTTTCTTGCTGTTCCTAGAGACCGCTGTCTTCTGGAAATTTTGTATCCTAGGTATACTACATTTTTTGTACCAGCTGTGCTTTCTGTAGAGAGACTCAATATCCATTTAAACCCAAGAAGTTTAACAGAGAGATAGTCCATGTAATGCACTCTTCTTCTGTCTCAGTTGTTATTAGTAAATCATCTACATATTGTAGAAGGGTTCCATCTCCCTGTGGCCTTTCCCATTGTTCCAATTCTTTGGCTAATTGGTTTCTAAAAATTGTGGGAATATTCTTATAGCCTTGGTCCAGGTCAATTGAGTCTTCCTCCCTGTTTTGGCAGATTCCCACTCAAAAGCAAAAATTTTCTGGCTTGCTAGAGCTAAGGTTAGGCAAAAGAATGTATCTTTTAAGTCCAATACTGTGAACCATTTTAAAGTTTCCCTCAATTTGGTTAGAAGGGCATATGGATTTGTCATCATTTACTTGAAATTCGAGTTTACTTTTATTAAATTTTATTACAGCCCCTAGATTTTCCAATAAGTCCCTACCTAATAAAGGCTTTGGAGAATTTGGTAAATACAAGAATTGATGAATCCCCATTTGTTTTCCAATTTTATATTTAATAGGTTTTAGGAAATAGGCTTTTTCTGGTTGGCCTGTTGTTCCCACAACTTGTACAAATTCATCACTTCTGGGTATCAGCTCTTGATTTAAAACTAAAAATGTCGCTCCGGTATCAACCAAAAAGTCTAATTCCTTTTCACCTTCTCCTAGCTCTATTTTAACCAGTGGGTCTGCTAGGGAACGACTTACCGGTCCCCCTCATTCACTGTTCTGATGTGCAATGGTAGTATTTGTAGGTCCTTCCCTTAGCTGAGGACATTCTCGTTTTTAGTGTCTTATCTGCAAGCAATTGGAATATTGATTTGATCCTATCCTGGGTGGATGGGGCTGAAATCCCCCTCTCCCTTTCCTTCTTGCTGGGTAGTCCTTACCTTTGCCTCTGGCATTTGGTTCTGAGAACTTTGCATTCTGGTTTACTACAGTTACTGTTACTACCCGAGCAAGTTCCTTATCTTTTTTTTTT